ATCCACTCACCTCAGCCTCCCAAAGGTGCGGGATTACAAGCTGAGCCACCGAGCCCGGCACGTACCCACTCTTATCTAGCTTCTTTGACTCTGCGTGCTTTCTGACGTAGAAAAAATGGACTGTGAATGAGGTGACGCAAGTGGTCAGGAATCACAGAGGCAGAGGCCACGCAGGCGTCCTGGCCCTGAGCCCAGTGTGCCATCTGCCACACCTCCCTCACTCGCCTCTCCATTCATTCACTCATTCACCAGAGAGTGAGTGTTTGGGTGGGCTTGCCCTGTGGAGTCATAAGAGTACACAGACAAGTGTGGCCCTTGCCCTCCTGCGCTGACAGTCCTTCATTCATTCACTCATTCATTCATTCAAATAGTCAGTCTATATCCACAGAATATACTGTTGGAACCTGGCTCTGCCCCACCCCTTACTACACCACCCTGACCCTCTCAGCCACCCTCCTGTCTAACACTTCAAGCTGGACACTCAGGCGCTACAGGTACGGATCAGAGAAGAATCCTGCCCTCCAAGACCAATAGGAAAATCTCTGCACTACCATGAACCCTGAGAACTTGTGAGAGAGCTGGGGTCCCGGGCCGACATCTGCCTGGCATCACATGAATCACTCTGGTTGTTGGTGTGAGTGAAGAAATTGCTAACATTTCACCAGGGCTTGCTATGTGCAGAGCCAGGATCTGAGCTCGGGCTGACTGGTTCTGTGCCCTGAGTTCTTAACCACGGCTCCGTCCTGCCTGCGACCACCCTGCCGTTCACGCAGGATCACAGGGCAGGCTGGCATCTGACACGCTTGCCGGCAGGTCCTCGCTCCGCATCTCCGTGAGATGAGGCAGCTTGCAATGGCTACACATTCCTGAGAGGAGGAAGAGCTACTCAGCCAGCCCTGGCTACCAAACCCAAGTTCATCACCCATCAGAGCACACCTCAACTGAAAAAAGAGGGTATGGGCGGAGGGGTTTGGTACCCCCCAACTCAGTGGCTCCCCACAAGGCTCAGCTCCCATGCAGGGACCCCATGGTCCAATGGGAAAGGCCCCAGGCCAAGAAGCTATTGCTGGGTTCAGAGTGGGTCTTTGTAGCACCAGTTGTGTGTCTTGGGAAGGTCACTTGGTCTTTGTAACTTGATTCCCCCATCTGTAAAACAGAACATCTTCTAACCTCCCATGATTACTGTCATCTTAGTGAGATAAGTGAATGTGGAATCTCTTTGGAGAGCCTACAGCACTGTACACTGCAGTACGGACTTGTCATCTGTAAGTGAAACTTCCCCAAGGCTACGACCACTTCTGATTTTGCCTCAAGCTAGGTCCCTTATCTCTCTCCCACCCTCAACCCAGCCTGCCTGACTTTAAAGTTCATAACTTGAAATTGAAGCTAGAGTGAACCTGAGGAAGGAATATTAGTCTATGTGTGTAAATATCCAAGCCTACTGGGTATGCTCTCCTAACCCCACCTCAAATACACACACACACACACACACACACACACACACACACACACACACACAGGGGAGGGGGGAGGGGAATTATTAATTTACAAATTAAAATGATTTTTTTTATTTTAAAGATATGGGGTAAAATTTAGGATTAGGTATACAAGTGGACATCGTTCAGATAAAGCTTGGACCTCCCTTTGGTCCCCACTTTGCCTGGTTTGAGATCAGATACCCTTATCCATATTATGTCCCCAGCCCCACCCTAGTAGTATCCCACTACTGCCAGTCCCAAAATGACATCATTCCCCATGAACACCTTGGACTCGGGCCAACAACGTTCCAGCAACTGATGGTTTCTAAGTTCCTGTTTTGTGGAGAAGTTGACAAAAACAATAGCTATAAGAGAGTGACCTTCCACCCATCACTTTACACGCTATCTCATCAGAGGTTCCATCAGAGTATCCTAGGAGTTACTTCCAGTTGAGGGGTAGTTCAGAAGACACTGCTCATTGGCCTCCCAGCCTCTGCTCTCTTTTTCTTCCTTCCCAGAAGAATCCCAGTTTGGGTTCCTATATCCTCACCCAACCCTCACACTTGGTCTAAGAAGCAGAGGGAGAGGTGATGCAAAATGGCTGAATTCCAGAAATATTCTGAAGATATGACCAAAAGAATGTGTGAGGCACTGGCTGGTGGTGCGAGAGAAGGAGAGGCATGACAAATGAGACTGGGCACGAAAATGTGTTGGGTAGATGGAAGGACTTCAGACACATCCAAATCATATTTTTTGTTATTAAGGAATGTTAACTTCCTCTTTTACTCTGGCTCCTCTCTGTCATCATGCATGGAGAGCCTCCTTTGCTGAGGAGAGTTTTCCCCTCAGTCAGTCTCCTTCTTTGCAATCTAGTGTGTGCCAACTCAAGGAGTGTAAATCGATGCTAAGGGAAGCATGTTGCCAAAACAACCATGACGTTCCTTCCCAAGCTACAAATAAGTCACTGTTTAACCTGTTGGTAAACCCTATCTCAGTGATCAGGAACCAGCTGCATCCCACCCTGGCTCCTGTGTAATGAACTTCTTCTCCTCCACAGCTCCCAGCAGGCTGCGAAGACTGAGGGTCTTCATGCTTCTTCCTCGACTCCCCTAGAATGGATGTGTGTGGCTGGAAGGAAATGGAGGTTGCTCTGGTCAATTTTGATAACTCAGACGAAATCCAGGAAGAGCCCGGCTACGCCACAGACTTCGACCCAACCAGCCTAAAAGGCCGTCCTGGGAGCAGCCCCTTCTCCAACTGGAAGACCCTCATCAGCGACAGCACCAGCCATGAGACGGCCTTCTCCAAGCTCTTGGAAGACTATGTGGAGCCCCCAGGCCCTGAACCAGTGGTCTTGAATGAAGGAAACCAGCGGGTGATCATCAACATTGCTGGCCTGAGGTTTGAGACCCAGCTCAGAACCCTCAATCAGTTCCCAGAGACCCTCCTGGGAGACCGGGAGAAAAGGATGCAGTTCTTTGACTCCATGAGGAATGAGTATTTCTTTGACCGGAACCGGCCCAGTTTTGATGGAATTCTTTATTACTATCAATCTGGTGGGAAAATCCGGCGCCCGGCCAATGTTCCCATTGACGTCTTTGCGGATGAGATCTCCTTCTATGAGCTGGGTAGTGAGGCCATGGACCAGTTCCGAGAGGATGAGGGCTTCATCAAAGACCCTGAAACACTGCTCCCCACCGATGACATCCACCGTCAGTTCTGGCTCCTCTTTGAGTACCCCGAGAGCTCCAGCGCCGCCCGTGGTGTGGCTGTGGTCTCGGTGTTGGTTGTGGTCATCTCCATCACCATCTTCTGCCTGGAGACACTCCCAGAGTTCCGAGAGGACAGGGAGCTGAAGGTGGTCAGGGATCCCAGCCTCAACATGAGCAAGACAGTCCTCCCCCAGACCATGTTCACCGACCCTTTCTTCATGGTGGAGTCTACCTGCATCATGTGGTTCACCTTCGAGCTGGTGCTCCGGTTCACGGTCTGCCCCAGCAAGACGGGCTTCTTCAGAAACATCATGAACATCATTGATATCATCTCCATCATCCCTTACTTTGCAACTCTCATCACAGAGCTGGTTCAGGAGACTGAGCCGAGTGCTCAGCAGAACATGTCCCTGGCCATCCTGAGAATCATCCGCCTGGTGAGGGTCTTCCGCATCTTCAAGCTCTCCCGCCACTCCAAGGGGCTGCAGATCCTGGGGCAGACGCTGAAGGCTTCCATGCGGGAGCTGGGGCTGCTCATCTTCTTCCTCTTCATTGGAGTCATCCTCTTCTCCAGTGCGGTCTACTTTGCTGAGGTGGATGAGCCCGAGTCCCATTTCTCCAGCATTCCTGATGGCTTCTGGTGGGCAGTGGTCACCATGACAACTGTAGGCTACGGGGACATGTGCCCAACCACTCCGGGGGGGAAGATCGTGGGCACTCTATGCGCCATCGCAGGAGTCCTCACCATTGCCCTCCCCGTGCCTGTCATTGTTTCAAACTTCAATTACTTCTACCACCGGGAGACTGAGAATGAGGACAAGCAGAACATCCCAGGAGAAATTGAAAAAATCCTCAACAGTGTGGGCTCAAGAATGGGCAGCACAGACTCCCTTAGTAAGACCAATGGGGACTGTTCCACAGAGAAGGCTAGGAAGTGATCAGTCCAGGCTTCCTGGATCCCCTTGTTTCTCTCTCTCCACCCCCCACCCCCATCTCCCTCCTTCTCTCTTTCCCTTCCCCTCCTTTCTGTTTTCACAAAGACCAACTTTATCTTTTGTGACAACAGCCATCTTTGACTACACCTCTTTTAATAAACCCATACTTCTGTTGTATTTTCTATGCTGTTTCTTTTCAATCCGCCACAGAAAGATTTTGTGCATCTTTCCTGTGAAATGTAAATTCAGGTCTAGACTAGAAGTAGTAACATCATCTGGAAGCAAGAAAACGCAGAATCCGGGTTGACTCTGACCTACTGAATCGGAGTCTGTATTTTAACAAGATCCAAAGTCATTTATATGCACATTAAAGATTAAAAAGCACTGGCTTGGTCTTCCTAAGAGAGAGCATATTAAAAGACCAGACCGTGCCGAGAGAGAGAGAGAGAGAGAGAGAGAGAGAGAGAGAGATTATTAGAACTCAGAGTTGTTTAATAATAATAAATACCTGTACTTGTGTAGCATGGTTTAATTTTCCAAAGCACTTTACCTACATTATCTCACTGCATCTCAAAATAACCAGAAAAGCAGATTTGATCATTATTCCTATTTTGCAGGTGAACAAACCAGGGGAGAGCAACTCACCTAAGGTCACCCAGAAACAGTGACATGGCAATGCTGTCAAATCTCTCACCTACTAGCCTACTAGCTCAGGGCTCTTTCCACTAATGAAGAGGGTGTGCTGGAATTGAGGGAAAGTGACAGGAGTTTGAGGGGGTCTGTCTTTCAGAGGATTCAGGCAGCAAACCTCTGGGCAGAGACACTGTTCCCTGGGGGTTGCAGGGTCTCCTGGGAAGGCAGTGCCTTGCCCAGCCTCTATGCCCTTCAGTCCCTTCCCTGGGCAGCAGGCAAGCAGAAACAGTCCTAGATGTTTTGTTTTGTTTTGTCCCTGGCCCCTCTCCACAGATTTACACACAGAATAGGGGTCTTGAGTGTAGGAAGCATGGGCCCCAGGAGACTGCTCCAGGAAAACAGACATGTCCCCCTGCCTCAGGTTTCAGCTCCCACTGAGTCCTCAGGAATCAACCAGTAACCTGTGGGACCCCTGGAGAGGGACAAGCAGGGCCCCGAGGCACATTACCCAGAGGCCAGGCTTACTCAAGGGGGTCGGTTGCGGCCAGCCAAGTGAAGGACTGCCTTCCTGGGAGAGGAGCTTGCTCAGTCTGCGATCTCCCAGGATGAGGGAATAGAAGTGGGATTCCCCAAAGGACAGGAAAAGGAAGCCTCCATTATGTCCCTCCTGGATTCACCCTCCCAAGTAAGAAGACCCAATACTCAACACCTAGCCACACCTCCAAAATGAGCTAATGCCCCTTGTTCTGGGCCAAACTCACTGCAAAACTTTAAGCCTACATGACACACAATCTTGGCTGTGTTAGTCAGGGTTCTCCAGAGAAACATAACCAGTAGGGTGTGTGTGATGTGGGGGGGGCGGGCATTATAAGGAATAGGCTCAGCTAAGTGCATTGCCTCATGCCTGTAAGGGAGGATTGCTTGAGTCTACCACCGGGAGTTCGAGGCCAGCCTAGGCAACATAGAGAAATCTTGTCTCTACAAAAAATTTAAAAATTAGCCAAGCGTGGTGGCATACACTGTAGTCCTAGTTACTTGGGAGACTGAGGTGGAAAGATTGCCTAAGCAATCAAGGTAGACTATGCAATGAGCTGTGATGATGCCACTGCACTCTAGCCTGAGTGACAGAGTGAGAACCTGACTCCAAAAAGAAAAAAAAAGAAATAGGCTCATGTGATTATGAAAACTGACAAATGTCAGGATCCACAAAGTAAGCTGGCAAGCGTGCAGGCTTAAGGACCAGGAAAAGCCAATGTTGTAGTTCAAGTTCAAGGGCAAGGAAAAAAAAAACAATTGCCCAGCTCAAAGGCAGTCAGTCAAGAGGAATTCTCTCTTGCTTGGGGAGAATCAACACTTTTGTTCTATTTCAGCTTTCACCTGATTAGATGGAGCCCACCCACATTAGGAATGGCAGTCTGCTTTACTCAGTCTACTGATTCAAAGGTGATCCCACCAAGAAACACCCTCACAGATGCACCGAGAATAATGTTTGACCAAATATCTAGGCACCTCATGGCCCAGTCAAGTAGACACATGGAATCAGTCATCACACAGGCACACACCCAGCTCCACACAACCCTGTAAGACACAACGCTGCAACCACAGATGCCACCGCACAACTTCCACTTTCTGAGATGTGAGCAGGTGTGGGAGAAAGCCACTTCACTTCTTGCCTCTTGTCTCTATGCCCCCACACTTCAAGCCCCCACAAAGCTGAATTTAGTAATTTTTAAATCCCTTTTCCATTCTAACAATCTCAAATCCCTTGCACTTTAACCCCAAGCTTAAATTAAGCACTGAGTCACGCAGCTATCTAGCCTGGGCTTCACCCAAGACATGACCACCCTTAGACCTGGGTAAGCAGGCTCTGTCCCAGGCCCTGAGCCTTGGGGTTCCAGGCATCGGAGTGTCTTCCTCACAATTTTCTAAACCCCCTTCCAATTTCTCCCCTTCAGAGCACTCTCCAATTCTCCACTCGCTCCTCACTCAACAGCTAGTAGGGTCTACCAGATACCTCAAGGAGCTCCAGGACTCCCACTGATGAAGTCATCCTGAGACCTCGGGTCAGGCTCTGGTTCTAGGATGGTGGCCTGGTCTGCAGATCATTCTCCCTGGCTCATTTACAGGATCACACGGGCTTGGGTCCCAAAATGATGGTGACATTCTGATTTGGGGTGATGCCAGCTTTCATATACAAAACTACTTACCCAAGACCTCATCGCCCAAAGGGTAGCCTTGGCCAAGAGCCCATATACCCACATTTAGCCCTCTGGGGTCACATCATCATAATCTTTTACACTGAAACCTCTTTCCTTTGAGGGCTGATGCAAGAACCCCATGCCCCTCATATCAGAAGAGGAGACCAGAGAGGCCAAAGAGCCAGGAGGGGTCAGGATTTGAATCTAGGTCTCTATGGTGTCAAAATGCATTCCATCATGCTGCCTGCCCAAAGTTTCCTGACCAGAACAGTCTCCGCCGGGGCGAGGGAACGGGAGCTGTGGTCCTGCGGACAAGCTTGGCACCTTCCTGGGAAGAGGGAGGCTGCGTCTGCTAAGGCCTTTCTTTCTTTTTCCCTCTGACTCTGTGTTCAGTGGCAGGGCCACATGCTGGCCTTACACTATCACCTGCTGCAAACACAGTGGGAAAACAGACAACCCAGGTCAGGTGGGGCCAACACCCCCAGAGGCCCAGATGGAGTCCCTGGAGCCTCCAAACCCCATTCTCTCTCTCCTAAGATCCTGCCAGGAAGAGTAGAGGCAGAGCAGGGCACAGGGGAGCCAGTCTTGCTCTCTACTTGATCTAGTAGCTCCTACAGCTTTAGGAGGCCTGAGTATAAGATTCTGGCTTCTGCCGGGCTCGGTGGCTCAGCCTGTAATCCCGCGCCTTTGGGAGGCTGAGGTGAGTGGATTGCCCGAGCCCTTGGGTTCAAGACCCGCCTGGGCAGGCAAGACTTCATCTCTACAATAAAATCAAAAATTAGCCAGTCGTGGTAGCGCGCCTGTAATTCCGGCTACTCGGAAGGCTGAGGCGGAAGGATTGCCGGAGCCCAGCAGGTCGAGGCTGCGGTGGCCGGGAGCGGCCACTGCACTCCAGTCTGGGCGACAGAGTGAGACTCTAACTCAAAAAAAAAAAAAGATTCTGACTTCTGGGGAGTGGGTCCTGGCCTTCAGGCTGATGCCAAGAACTGGAGCTGCAGAGGCAAGCCCTCCAGTTCCCAAGCTGCTGCCACCAATGAGGCAGGTGTCATGGTCCCAGCGCACCAACACCATGTCCTATGTTTCTTCCTCATGAACCCAGGGTGGGAGAAGAGCTGTGGGCATCCCCCTCACCGCACATCTGCCCAGTTCCTGTCGGCAGTGAAATCTGCTGTCTACAGAGGATCGCCCAGATGACTCATTGGTAAAGGGGATGGAGAGAGGCAGAGAGGAGAGGACAAGGCTGCTGGGGCTCACATGTGAGCACAGAAGGGAAGATGCTCCCACTACTCATCACGGAGGGAAGGATTTGTCAGCAGTTGGGTCAGACAGCTCTGTCTCTAGGAAGCAGGAACAAGTCCCAAGGCCTCATTCAGTGCGTTAATATGTATTGCCCTCCTGCTGTGTGGCATTTTATAGCCACTGAATAAGATCATAGTTCAAGGAAAAGGGTCCATTGCAATTTTCACAGTAAAAATAAGCAAATAATGTAAGCAAATCTTGTGTTTTCTTTTCTGTCCTAACCAGCAATCATACAAGTTAGGGATAGCAGCAGGGGCTAGTCACCATTTTCTTTAATAAGTTGTAGAAACCACAAGGCCTTTTGAAACTTAAGAGCTTTGTTTTTGTTTTTGTTTTTAGCAAAAGTCCTCTAGATTTCAATTCTAGAGGATCTGGCTAAGTTTTTACTAATTGTATGACTTGAGCTTTCATATTCCTCCGTTTCCTTAAGTGGAAGGAAAATGGATACTTTTTTTTTTTTTTGAGTTGGAGTCTCACTCTGTCGCCCAGACTGGAGTGCAGTGGCCGCTCCCGGTCACCGCAGCCTCGCCCGCTGGGCTCCGGCGATCCTTCTGCCTCAGCCTTCCGAGTAGCCGGAATTACAGGCATGCGCTACCATGGCAGGCTGATGTTTTGATTTATTAAATACCCAACTAGCAGCAAATGTGGCAGCATCTCCCCACCTGCCCATCTCCCCAGGGGCAGACCCTGAGTCCTCCCTCACCCAACCCTGCCCAGGGAGACCCTCAAGACCTCCACAGGCCACCAAAGTGACTGCTCGGTCCCTGTGCTGTGACTTCCTGGTTCTCTGATTCTTTTTTTTTTTTTTGAGTTGGCGTCTTACTCTGTCGCTCAGACTGGAGTGTAGTGGCTGCTCCCAGCCACCGCAGCCTCGACCTGCTGGGCTCCGGCGATCCTTCC